TACTGGGGTCATCAGTAGGAGGCCTTTATTTGAAATATGTTTAAGGGAATCATGGCTGGGGAATAAATATTCATGTGGTACAAGGCATAATTTGGTTGCTGGAATACTGAAGTGCATTTGTTGATTGAAATATTATCCCTTGCATGGGAACAAGTACGGTACTGACGGTATCGGATTTCCTCACAATATGATGGAGAATTGTATGCAGTTGAGTGCTCGATGGTTTTGTGTTGGTCAATGCTGATTTTGTCTCATAGAAGATGATTCTTGCTGGGGCGATATTGGTTATCTACTCAGATCTGTACTGGTTTTGTTAATCCATGGAAATGCAATATATTGGGCTTCTTGATAGTTGATACAGTTTAGTTGCTCTTGTTTGGACTTGGGGTTTTTAACTTGTGTTTATGGGGATTGTTTTTTGTGATCTTGGGTTTATTTGATTTATCTTTTGTGTACCACCAGATGGGATTAAATAAGGTGAAAATGGATCTTTAGTGTGTGTAAGGCCACATCTGGGTTTGTAACATCAGGTTGAGAAGCGAATGGGACATTGGGACGTTGGTTATGTTTTTCCTTTTCTCTAGTTTCTGGTCAGATATAGGTTTCTTGCATAATATGGTGTTGATGCAGATACAGTTGTCCCTGGAATTTCTTTGGGCTGCCCTTCTCTTTCGTGTTTCTGCTGTTCTCAAGTGGTGCAAGGTATCATCAAGAGCTGATGTAAATAAAATAACAGGAACGGGATCAGAGCTGCCTTGTGGCTTCTGCCTGTTAAGTTCTTTTGTGTGGCTATCATTGGTGGTGGAAATTAGAAGTTTACCTTTTCCTATGTGGTTTAACATATTTTGACAGTAAGGAGGCAATTTGTTTACCACTGGGTTTTCTTCTGAAGGCTTCTTCCTTGTGAGCTTTGCTTTCTTCATGCCGCCTTAGGAAGATATGTTTAAATGAGGATTTTGGGAAAAACTCACGAGGATTACATTTCCATGCGGGATTGTTATTGTTAGGTGTATGTCAAGCAATCTGCAATACGCAGATGTACATGAAACTCTGCTGCTAATTAATCCCTGAGCTCACTGCTAAATTTGGTGGCCCCAGATCTGTGGTGTCTGCATCGTTAGTTCAAATATTTAGGTTCAAAATCTTCCTTAACATTCTAATGATTTATGTGGTAGATGGCGTTGGGTCTTGAATGTAGGAACACTCGACTTGTTTTTTTTCTGAGGACTCTTAGCTGTTACCTTTTGTGGTTAATACAAGTTATGATAATCTCAATTGCGCTTCTTATTCCTGGAAGTAAGGGTGTATGTTTTGAGAAGTAAAGAGCTGTCATTGTGTAGTCTTCCCTACTCCCATCCACAGTAATAAATTGTTTTTGTACTACCCATGGTGAGAGATATCATAAGTTGCCAGCAGGTGCAAACTTTTAATTGGTAATTGGCTGTTTCATCATCTGAAGCCTTTCCCACTCCCACAAGTTCATATTTACGTTGTCTTATCTTTTCTTCTGGGGCTTACTTATCTGTAGATTTTACTTTTTTCCAGGATATAGAAT